AGTTCACATCCAATACTGCATTAGATAATAAAATGTAGAAATTCGATTAGCTAGTTAAGAAAATTAAAAGCTGAACACTGTCAATCTCATCTTCTCCCCTGCGATGACAATTGACACATTTTGGCTAAAACTCATCACATGTGCGTGGAAGAAATATTAATTTCATTAACATTGTCTTCTCTTCTTCTCTCTCTCTACTCTCCTTTTTCTTTTCTTCCCTTTTTTTTTTTCTAACTTTCTATTCAAAAGTTATATTGGGACAACTCCAATTCTGAGAGGAATTGTTGAGAACTTACCTAAAAAACCCAAAAACCAAGACAGGAATCTCATCCCGTGATTTTGAGAAATCTAAGGGTCCTTTATATGCAGTGGGATCAGTCTCCTTTGTATCCAAACAAATGAGATATGCAAATCCTATATCAATAGAATAGCAGCAGAAATCATCAATTCAATTAAAGGTGCAGAGGCGAAAATTTTGCTAAAGGCATATGGGAGGCAAAGACCATAGAAGGAGAGTACAATTTGGGGTAGGGGGTTGGCACGGGTAGGCCCTGGTGGGTTGGCAAAAAGCATCAAACACTTGGTGGAAACTGGCGAATGGAAGAAAAAAATGTCAAGTGGAAATTTGGGGGATAAAAACACAAAATTTTAGTTAGCATCTATTTAATTGTACTGCACCTGCAATTGGTCCTTTTTCTCTTGTAAAATATACCCAGTCTGCACATATTAATCCATTTCAGTACAAAAGGTGGGATTTGCTTTATTGGGACAGCTCTAATTCTCAGAGAAATTGTTGAGAACTTACTTGAAAAACCGAAAAACCAAGCTAGGAATCCCAACCCGTGATTTTGAGAAATCTAAAGGTCCTCCATATGCAATGGGATTAGTTTCCCTTGTATCCAAACAGATGAGATATGAAAATCCTATATCAACATAACAGCAACAGAAATCATCAATTCAATTAAAGGTGCAAAGGCAAAATTTTTCCTAAAGGCAAAATTTTTCCTAGAGGCATGCGGAAGGGAAAGACCATAGAAGGCAAGTACAATTTGGGGTATGGGGTTGGCATGGGTAGGCCCTGGTGGGCTGGCAAAAAGCATCAAACACTTGGTGGAAATTGGCAAATGGAAGAAAAAAATGTCAAGTGGAAATTTGGGGGATAAAAGCATAAAATTTTAGTTACCATCTATTTAATTGCACTATACCTTCAATTGGTCATTTTTCTCTTGTACAATATACCCAGTTTGCGCATATTAATCCATTTCAGTACAAAAGGGTGGGATTTGCTTCACATGTTGGCAAAGTATGGGTCCCCTTAAGCATCAGCAATTCACATCTAATAATGCATTAAATAATAAAATGTAAAAATTCGACTAGCTAGTTAAGAAAATTAAAAGCTGAACACTATCAATCTTATTTTCTCCCCTGCAATGAAAATTGACACATTTTGACTAAAACTCATCACTTGTGCGTGGAAGAAATATTAATTTCATTAACATTATCTTCTCTTCTTCTCTCTTTCTACTCTCCTTTTTCTTTTTTCGCTTTTTTTTTTCTAACTTTCTATTCAAAAGCTACATTGGGACACTCCAATTCTAATAGGAATTGTTGAGAACTTACTTGAAAAACCCAAAAACCAAGACAGGAATCCCATCCCGTGATTTTGAGAAATCTAAGGGTCTTCCATATGCAGTGGGATTAGTCTCCTCTGTATCCAAACAGATGAGATATGGAAATCCTATATCAACAGAACAGCAGCAAAAATCATCAATTCAATTAAAGGTGCGGAGGCGAAAATTTTGCTAGAGGCATATGGGAGGGAAAGACCGTAGAAGGTGAGTACAATTTGTGGTAGAGGTTGGCACGAGTAGGCCCTGGTGGGTTGGCAAAAAGCATCAAACACTTGGTGGAAACTGGAAAATGGAAGAAAAATATGTCCAATGGAAATTTGGGGGATAAAAACATAAAATTTTAGTTAGCATCTATTTAATTGTATTGTACCTGCAATTGATCCTTTTTCTCTTGTAGAATATACCAAGTCTGCACATATTAATCCATTTAAGTACAAAAGGTGGGATTTGCTTCACATGTAGGCAGAGTATAGGTACCCTTAACCATCAGCAATTCACATCTAATAATGCATTAAATAATAAAATGTAGAAATTCAACTAGCTAGTTAAGAAATTTAAAAACTTAACACTGTCAATCTTATCTTCTCCCCTGCGACGAAAATTGACACATTTTGGCTAAAACTCATCACATGTGCGTGGAAGAAATATTAATTTCATTAACATTATCTTCTCTTATTCTCTCTCTCTCTACTCTCCTTTTTCTTTTTTTTCCTTTTTTTTTCTCACTTTTTATTCAAAAGTTATATTGGGACAGCTCCAATTCTGAGAGGAATTGTTGAGAACTTACCTGAAAAACCAAAAAATCAAGCCAGAAATCCCATCTCGTGATTATAAGAAATCTAAGGGTCCTCCATATGCGGTGGGATCAATCTCCTCTGTATCCAAACAGATGAGATATGAAAATCCTATATCAACAAAACAACAGCAGAAATCATCAATTCAATTAAAGGTGTAGAGGTGAAAATTTTGCTAAAGGCATACGGGAGGGAAACACTGTAGAAGGAGAAAACAATTTTGGGTAGGGGTTTGGCACGGGTAGGCCTTGGTGGGCTAGCAAAAAGCACCAAACACTTAGTGGAAACTGGCAGATGGAAGAAAATAATGTCAAGTGAAAATTTGAGGGATAAAAACACAAAATTTTAGTTACCATCTATTTAAATGTACTGTACTTGCAATTGGTCCTTTTTCTCTTGTAGAATATACCCAATCTGCACATATTGATCCATTTCAATACAAAAAGGTGGGATTTGCTTCACATGTCGACAGAGTATGGGTCCCCTTACCCATCAGCAATTCACATCTAATAATGTATTAAATAATAAAATGTAGAAATTCGACTAGCTAGTTAAGAAAATTAAAAGCTAAAAACTGTCAATCTTATCTTCTCCCCTGCGATGACAATTGACACATTTTGACTAAAACTCATCACATTTGCGTGGAAGAAATATTAATTTCATTAACATTATCTTCTCTTCTTTTCTCTCTCTACTCTCCTTTTTCTTTTCTTCCCTTTTTTCTTTCTAACTTTCTATTCAAAAGTTATATTGGGACAGCTCTAATTCTGAGAGGAATTGTTGAGAACTTACCTGAAAAACCCAAAAACCAAGACAGGAATCCCATCCGGTGATATTGAGAAATCTAAGGGTCCTCCATATGCAGTGGGATAAGTCTCCTCTGTATCCAAACAGATGAGCTATTGAAATCCTATATCAACAGAACAACAGCAGAAATCATCAATTCAATTAAAGGCACAGAAGCTTAAATTTTGCTAGAGGCATACGAGAGGGAAAGACTGTAGAAGGAGAGAATAATTTGGGGTAGGGGGTTGGCACGGGTAGGCCCTGGTGGGCTGGGAAAAATCATCAAACACTTGGTGGAAACTGGCAGATGGAAGAAAAATATGTCCAGTGCAAATTCTGCCGACATGTGAAACAAATCCAACCTTTTTATACTGAAATGGATTAATATGTGCAGACTAGGTATATTCTACAAGAGAAAAAGGACCAATTGCAGGTACAGTACAATTAAATAGATGATAACTAAAAATTTGTCTTTTTATCGCCCAAATTTCCACTTGACATTTTTTTCTTCCATCTGCCAGTTTTGACCAAGTGTTTTATGCTTTTTGCCAGCCCACCAGGGCCTACCCGTGCCAACCCCTTACCCTAAATTGTACTCTCTTTCTACGGTCTATCCTTCCCGTATGCCTCTGGCAAAATTTTAGCCTCTGCAACTTTAATTGAATTGATGATTTTTGCTGTTGTTCTGTTGTTATAGGATTTTCATATCTCATCTGTTTGGATACAGAGGACAATGATCCCACTGCATATGGAGGACCTTTAAATTTCTCAAAATCACAGGATGGGATTCCTGCCTTGGTTTTTGGGTTTTCAAGGTAAGTTCTCAACAATTCCTCTCAAAATTGGAGCTGTTCTAATATAACTTTTGAATATAA